CACTTATCTTACTGAAGTGTTTTGGCATCAAAACAAATTTGTGTGGTGTGCTGTGATGATGGTGATGTTCGATATCGTCATTATAGCGCACCACAAGTCCACTGCTGAACATGACTCCTCTATTGCCTCGGGTGCTGCAAAGGTTTTTTTTCTTATTTTTTTTTTTGTTAAAAACTAGGATTTTCTCCTGTATCGTGGGGGCAGTTTACAAACATAAAATTCACAAGGACGAACATCCAGATCCGGAACAATTACTTGTAAGCTATACAAATACTTGTTCCGTAAGGGATTCGAACCCGCGGCCCTTAGCGCTGTAAGTAACTCATTGCTAAGACACTGCGCCACGGAGCCGTCTCAAAGGGAACTGCGTGGATAATAATATTTGAAATATATTTTCTTCTTATGACGTAATTTTTTTTACTTGACAATATTTGTAGTTAATGCCAATAAAAACCTTATTAATGAAGTTAAAAGGCGAAAAGGCTGCTATTAGGAGCATCCACCCTGTATTACCTGTTGTAAAATAGTTATATGGAAAATTACAAACAACTTCAAGTCTGTAATTTATTGTTTAACAACTGTGTTTACTTCGGGTAAGTAGGTAACTATGCTAAGGCTAAAGTCATTGCTTTCGGCGGCTTTGATTGTGTTGAAAATGGACCACTTGTTGTGTGACAAGTGGTCCATTTTCTTTTATAACAAGGAATTACTACCACATGAATAATAATCGGTTCTTTACTCATGTGATACTTATTAGAGATGGGCCGAACATGGATTTCACCAAATACCAATATTCGGCCGAAAGTTTGGTAAAATTTTTACCGAATCGAATATTCGGCCGAACAAGATTTGGCAATATCACTTCAGTACCTCATCAACTTCTGTAGAAACTTGTTACCATAAAGTAAGCAGGATTAGCGCCGGACCCTACTCCTCGCTCCCCCTCCACACCAGACATGTTTTTGCATCAGTTAAAACTGAGCAAATTGCCGACACATTCTTATGTTTTGCGAATTTTTGTGAGAAATAAAAGTATTTCACTGTGTGATACTTAGTGAAAATTTATAATTATATGATAAAAATGAGTGGCAGGCATAGAATACTATAATACAAAATACAATGGCTATCAACCTTATTTAGTATGAGAATCGGTGTGGTCGGGAGTACACATACAAGAAATTATGTCGTATTATTCACTACTACAAACCCGATTCGCTGTATTGACAGACTGAGCGAATTTACACATTTTAGACTTTTGATTAATGTTTTTGACACATCAATGTTTCTTTATTTTTGTTTCTAATATTCACAAAACATAAATAGTTTCGACTTACTGGTTTTAGGTTCTGAAAGTCTTTATATTGATTACCTACCGAATGCCTCTCAGTTGGCTACCATTACCTTATGAAAGCATGGTAACTAACATACAATACTATAATACACAATAGAATGGCTGTCAATCTTATTTTGTATGGAGGATCGGCGTCGCCGGAAGCTCACATACAAGCAATTACGTCGTATTATCAGTTATCACTACTACAAACACATTTTACACTTTTGATTAATGTTTTTGACACGTAAATATTTCTGTATTCTTGTTTCTAATATTCACAAAATATAAATAGTTTCGACTTACTGGTTGTAGGACATGTCTCCTTTATTAAAATTCCATTTCCCGCTATTCTTTCGACACGTAATTACTACACAATTTGCTGTTTTTTAAATAATTTGCATGCAGCGACGCTTGACACGAAAATTGGAAACGATTGATTGTGTTGACATTTATAGGTGTGAATTGACGTTAGTGGCTACACGGGCTCCGCCCACTCTCCCGTTCTATTATGTATGTATTATAGTATTATGGTGGCAGGAGATCTACTAAGGTAAGTGAGTGTAATATATGGTCACCTTAAGCTTTGCCGCTCTATAAAGCCAAAACTAAGAGGAGGACAGAGACAAAAACACAAAGTCGTATACTATAACTAATATATTAAAAAAAAAACATACTTTGACAATAATTAGAAACACTGAAAAATCCACTAAAAAAACTAAATACACTACACCTTACTAAAATATTTAAAATGTCATCTGTCGAAATAGTTTCTATAAAGCAGCGCCCTTTTGACCTTTTATTATTTGATTGACTGATGAAAATCTATTGTATCACAAAGCCATCCATGCAAACATTGTTAAGGAAGTGACCATATAAACCGGATGACCATAATACCCTCACGTATATTAGGACTTATTTTAGAGAAACTGACAATCAAAGGAAAGTGAAATGTACTGATGTAATGTTATGTTTCTTTATTTGATGCTAAAACATTTTATCAAGCTTTCTAAGAATAAAACTATTATTTGCGTATTGAATCGCGTTTAATTCAACTTTAATTTACTTTTATTATCCCGAACTCCGGTGAATCGATCTGGCTCACTATGGGACGTAGTTGAGCGTTTGGTTTGTGTATCTTCAGTAACCCATACAACCTCGGCGGTTTGG